CTGTCGCTTGCATTGAGCGCCTTGGCCTGCACAAGATTGGAAAGTGGCGCAATGCCAGCGTCGACACTCTCCAGGGTATTGCGCACCACTGGTGGCTGGGGGGAACGTGCTCGCGGCTGGGCGGCAATCATGGGCACCTGCATAAAGCGGAATAGGCGCGGCGAGGCCCTCTCATTGGATTGCGCAACCATGTCACCGTTGTCAATGTCAAGGGCAATTCCAGTGTCCACGGGAGCAGCTGCTCCTTGTGCACCACCAGCTGGCGCAGGTGGCGTGAACATGGCCGAGAGCTGGATGGGCACAAAGGCAGGCAGGCGCACGGTAACTGGTGCTCCGGGTGCCGGTGTCGGTGCAGGTGCAGGAGCAGGACGTGGAGGCAGTGGCGCCGGATGCGCAGGCGGCGCTGGACGGTGTGGTGGTGGTGGCGCTGGTAGGTGCTCGTGTGGCGCTGCCGTTGGTACTACATGCTCAGCTGGCTCCGGTGCAGGCGGCTTGGTGTCTTCATCGGCATCTTGCCAGGCCTCCAGTAGCGTCAACAGCTCATCCTTGGTCATATGGCCCAGACCAATGGGATTGAAGCTACCGATGGTGTTCCAGTCCAACGACGGTGGTCCATAGAGCGAACGCTGGCCACGCGCGTAGACCAGCTGCTGGCCTTCGATGCCATGACAGAGCAGGAGGAGCAGCCACACAAGACTTGAAGTTGACATTCTGCTGGTTGTTGCACGATTGTTGCTCCGATTGCAGGCGTTGCGCATTTTTATATTTTTATGTCGCCTGTCGTCCAGTTTTTTGGACCTGGTCCGGAAAACGGAAGCGCACGCACAGAGCTGCGGGTGAACTGGTTATAAACATGCCAAATGGTCACTCTAATCCATGCGCAAGTCACGAATCCATATGCGTACCTTGCCAATGACCAAGTCCAAGTCCAAGCCACATCTCCAGTTTGTCTGCAAGCCACATTTGATGCCCTCTTCAAAAGTGCCTCAAATGGGGCATGATACAACCTTTATTGGTTACATCTCAGATGAAGAACTACATTAACTTCGTAGTTGAAAAATTCGGGCTATCAGATTATTAATAGTTAAAAAATGAATAGAATTACAGTAACTATTTACATACTTAATAATAATAATAATCTACCTTTCCATTTGAAGTCTTTCTTTTCATCCAGACAAAAAGCTTAGAATTTATATAAAGCTTTACACAATATTCCATTATATCAGACTTTTTCTTTTAATTCTGAGTATTAACACTTTATTTTAAGTAAATTTTTGTTTTGGTTTTAACGTATTTATATTGTGCGTAAAAATGTACTTTTCCTTTAAAAAAAAAGTTCTATAAATTTTAAATAGATATTTTAACAAATTCATTTTTAAGAAACATTTGCATTCGAAGCGTAACGTTTTCTTTATTTCTATTGTGCTTTGATTTTATTTAAATTTATAGTAAAATGATTAAATCAAACGAATTTTGACAAATTGACATCCACGTTTTGGGAAATTCTTCCAATGGAATGCATACTTTATAAGTATGTGTTGCTCGACCACAGAGAACTATGTGAGTATGGCGTGAATTTTACATGGTATCACTTAGTCGAGCATCTATGTGCTGGCAAATGCTCGTTTTGTTAGGTTTTTTTTTATATTAAAGGCCAGGTGCCTTTATTGCCAGCGTGGGTCAGTTGCTGGACAGGCGCTGGCATAGCAAACCAGTTGCCTGCCGATCTGTAACAGTCAACGCTCCATTTTGGACTTGGCTGCTTGTGTGGATATCTATGTTGATTTATGCGGTGTAATCTGCACAGCTCGAGGAAACGTTTACAAATTTTTACGGACTTATGCGGACAATGCATTCATGGGTACTCATAGCTATTTCATTTATTGTCGTGCGACGTTTTTTCTTACTTTCTTAAATTGTGTTTTTACCTCTTCTGGGATTTTAGGTAACAATTTATAGTACTTGTTGGGAGGGTGGCTCAATTAATTTGTGTAAGTGTCATAAGAGAATTTTCTTTGGAGGAACATAAATTAATTTTTTCTAGTTCTAGCATTCTTCTTATACTTTAGTTTAACAGTCCGATGTTAACGAGATATAGTGAGGAGCACAGTTTTACTAAAGTTATCTTGAAGAACAAACTTTCTTTTTCATACAAGAACTCAACCGCTTGTTCTTGTGGCAGCTTTTCAATAAAGAGGTCCGATCTTCCCGGCTCCGACAGCAAAAAGGCAAAGTTTCATGACTAAAGATTGGTGACACGAGACGAGCCTTACTATACAGACTCAGCTGTTGTTATTGATCAATAACATATATATAGCTTTTAGTCCGATCCCAATTTCTTTACAAAATAATGATTCCCTCCACAAAGTAAGGGTATGCATTTTAAATTTGATCATTAAAATAACCCCACATAAGCAAATAAATATTAAAATCCAATTTAAATACTTACGCTCTCTGCTAAATAGAAAGTCGCTTGTAAAATTTTGCAGGGGAGAGTATGCTATTTGCAAGTTACTATCTGAAAGTATTTATATATAGATATTTCGATCTGAATCAATCAATCAGTTGAATACCATATATAATTCATAAACACAACGACAAGCAACGGCCACTATTTGATTTGCTAACGATCCACATTTTATCCTCATGATAAGCTTATCCTATTAGCCATAATATCAAAAAAATTACTTTAATATTTAACTTTTATCAAAAAGTTCAAAATAACTGTAAGCGAAAACAAGCGAGTATATCGAACAAAATTGTATTCTCTTCTTGCACTTATTTACCTGCCGGATAAATATGCACTATTCCTGCTTGTAAATTTGAAATGCAACTCTGGCACATTATATGACTGCACAGTTAATGGCAATTACATTTTCTTTGTGCGACAGTTGATCAGAGCGCGTAATTAACATTATCAGCGGCTGCATCAGACTGTGAAAAAAGAAGCGACTGGCGTCATTTACAATAAGTGCTGCTAATCGGCTCGACATGCGTTACGCGTTCATCACTTGACCCACATGCAGCTGCAATTGTTCAATTCACCTGTTCAATTGATAAGTTCGGGCGTTAATGACGACCCCATAACAGTGGCAAAGAAAGAGAAATGAAGGCGGCCGCATTCAAAATTGATATTATCAGTAATGAATCATGAATAACGAATACTGAATAATGAATAATAATGTCCAATAAGCGACCAAGCGATGTGACGCGTCTATTGCCATGACAATGGCCAACAACGCCAGCGATGCTCATTACATAAACGGGCGCATTGCACCACGGCCGCCCGATACCCAACCACACCGCCCTCCTTGAAATTCCAAATGTCTAGCAGTTGGCGCAGGCGCAGTGGCAGTGGCAGACGATGACGACGTCGAATTAGCGTTAATTGTCGCAGCTCTTGGCAGCGTTGACAGTTTTTTTTTATATATACCCTTTGAAAGTGGTTAAGAAGGGCATATGGGTTGTGAGCATGTATGGCATGTAACATCGCTGACGCCTTACAGTATATTTATTGTTGCTAATAAAATTAAAGAATTTTGTTAGAATAAAGGGTATTGCCACAATAACAATTGTAGGTTTCTATTAAATTTTATTAAATATATGGAGTAGAGATATAGTGAAGGGCAATCGCTGATCCGAAGGGGGACATGGGGGACGCTATATATCCATATGGCTTAAAAACTTAATAAATACCGGACTATAAGCACCGAAGTAATTCAAGCATGCATTTCTCATACACAACCTCAGCTCGTTGCTGGGCATAGGTTATTTCATAGTCGAGCACTTGCGACTAGAGCTCTCTTTCTCGGCCCGGCTTCGCACCCCGTAAACGCTTAACAAGATTGGTAGCGACTGGGCTTGGGAGCACTGAACAGCTGGCAGGCGTGGCAAATAGCAATACGAGTCCGACCCATTATGCAATCGCGGCGCTGCGCTTAATGCGATTGGATTTAAAGACCCTTTTTGGGCGGCTGGGCTGGCGAAATTGCCGGCGAAAATGGCCCAAACAATGGAGCTGCTTTCCATTGATAAATCAGCAATGTAAACGGCCAGCGTTTGCCCACAAATCAGTCGCTTTTACCAGCTACATTTTTTGTTTTTGCCGCTGCTGCTTTCTTAAGGTGGGAGTTTTTATTTTTGTGTATTTTTCTTTACTATTAGACGCTGTGCAGAACCCGTAAGCGCCCTGACCTAACCCAAGTGCCAAGCTTTGCATAACAGCAACAACAATGGGTGGGCCGCAACGCCAACAGCAGCAGCAGCAGCAGCAACAGCAGCAGCAGCGGCAGAGGTTCAAGTGGCAGCAGCAGCAGCAGCAGTTTTTGGCTTTCCCAGCGAGTCACGACCGGCGCAATTTTCTTGTCACTGTCACCCGAAACGCGCGGCACACGCAACAAAGCCAAGCAGCAGCCGCAACAGTTAACAGCAACAGCAACAGCAGCCAAGAAGACAAAACAAACAAACAAACAGCAACAAAATATAAATATAAAAAAAAAAGCGGCAACAGCCAAAAGCCAAAAAACAACAGCTGCGCAGCTGACGTCGCAGTCGGCAACAACAGCAGCAGCTAGCGTCAACTGCGACAGCGACTGCCAACGATTGCAGCGCGCTGATAACAAGAAAGCAAACATTTTTCTTTTTTTAACAAGCCGACGAAGAAATGCTCTCTGTTCCTGCATATCCATTGCTGTTGTGCAACACTAAAATGCTGTGCATGTCTAATCTCTTAACTATTAGTTAAATTTGCTGCTAAATAACACTTAACAGAAAGAAACCCACTTATAAATTTAGGTTGCTTTATTACAAAGAAAATATCATATGACTTGAAATTGAAGTTGAATGAAGTTGCAATCAAAAGTTTTCCACCCATTTTTCACCCTTGCTGGTGGATTTTACAAAATCGTTAAAATACGTATCCTATCGAACGAAAATAAAAGTCCTACACGACTGACAGACTTTATTCAAGTTTAATTTACTTACTTTACTCCAAGGCCACCTTAAAGCGAGCAACAAATTTTTTCCGATTTGCCCCACTACAACGGGCGTTAAACTTGGATCAATATAATAAGGAGCTCAACAGCAGCTCATCTTTATTTCAAATTTGGTCATCCTAGCTCTAAATCTGTAAAAGATAATCGTGATATTGGTAACATCGCCCTGCTATGCGATTCTCATGAATTCAATTAGGATTACAGATTTTCGATTTGATTTGATTATAATTATAATTATGAGTTTTATACTAACAAGTTGTGTTGCTCTGACCTTAATTCGTTCCCTCTTTCTCTTCTTCTTGTAGTGATGTGTATTTGGAAAAGTTTCCTGCTAATAGATGTCAATAACATAATGTGGATTTTTGGGTAAGTACTTAAAGACAAATATATTTTTATATATATAACTTATAATATATGTTAAGCAATTCTAGTATATATACATACATACATATAAATTTATATATACAAATGAGCTTTTACTGCTCGACTGACGGACTGCAAATCTTGAGGCTGTAATTTGCACAGAAACTTCCTTTTGGCTCAGCACTAAGACGGGAAAACTAGGGGGAAAACGTCGTTTGAAATTTGTAGGAAAAGCAGACACAAAAAACGTAGCTATCTAAGTGTGTTCAGCAAACCTTTATGCCTTCGGTGTTTGAACGTCGGAGCAACAAGCGAAAAGTCGCCGGTTCAACTCAGGCATCAAATTTATTCTGTTGCTATTGACAAAGAATAAAGTTACTTATGTCTGCCTGAAATTAACACGAGTTGCAAACAAATGCTACTGAACATTTGCCATTTCAACAGCAATCTTGAGACCCGGGCAACGCCGGGTTATTTCGTCTAATACATAAATAATATCAATAATTATATATATATATAATTGCTTCTGCGAGCGTATACAACAGCTTACTCGCGGAAAAAATATTGCAAAAAGCTACAACAGCAGCTGCCGTTGTTGTTGCTGCTGTCGCTGCCTCGGCCGACGTCGCTGTTGCGTCGCTGCCAGCTGCTTCGGCTGGCGGTTTCCATTTCATTTTTAAGCAAACGCTCGACGCGTTCAGCGTTTTAATATTTAATTCCCGTCGCTCGCGAGCGGTTGAGCTACTGCAATTGGCAACAAAACGCGGCCGCTGATCGAACGTCGCCAACAAAGCGCGCGCTTCTCCTTTTTTTTTTTGAGTGTTAAAAAAAAAAGAAAACAGATTTTGTGTGATTTATTTTTGTTGCTGTGTTAATTATTGTGCAATTGTTTTAAGGATATTGTCAGTGCCTTGCAAACTGTGATAGAAATGTTGCCCTCGACTGTGCTGCTTGCGTGCGTCTGCGCCTGCGCCGTCTCGTTGCTGCCGCTAATTGTGGCACGCAGCTACAGCAATGGACTCATCTTTTACGAGCTGGCCACGCACACGCCCTATTTGCCGCCAACGGTGAGCGTGTCGCGTGGCCGCAACCTGGCCAGCGTCAAGTACTCGGAGAAGGGCTCCATTTGGTCGACATTCGGGCAGCCGTGCGAGTGCCGCGCCGCGATATGCGGCTGCTGTGCCGGCCTCAAAGTGGATCAATACAAGTTCGATCAGAAGGGTAGGTAACCAAATGCCTGGGCTGCCGTTGCTCCAGAGATCACAGATAGAGATTAAGTGTTGCTCCATGTGTCCAGGGATCATGAAAAAGTCCCACTCATTTCTCTAAAAATCTTTTCTTTTGCGGCACTCGACCTGTTTCCATCTCAAGTGTGTAAAGCGTTTAACTGTGTTGCAACTGTGGCATGGCCGACACATTGGCAGCCAGACAACAGTAACAAAAGCAACAAAAACAATTTGTTGCTGCTCACATGACATGCTCGCATTTGCCAATCAAAATGCCACAAATCGTTGGCGTAGTTTATTTTTGCATGTTGCCGCTCGGAGCTGTGTTCGCTTGGCTTCCAATTGGAATTGCAACTTCCACCCGCAACTTTCATTGCACTGCGGGCAACACTCTCGCAGACTAGCATACACATACACTGACACTCACACACACTCTTCCGTCGATCGAACTGTTGTTACTTTCTTTCTAACTAATTGCCATCTGTCTGTGCGTTTGCAGTTTGCGCCAACATCACATTCGTGCCACATTTGGAGGAGGCACAGCTGGAGGTATATCTAAACGAGCGTCCCTCGTCCAAATATGGCATCTCTCTGCGAAATCCATCGCCCTTCTGCATACCTGTCATGATGGGCGTGCCAATGGCCATGTGCGTCCAGCTGACTGATGTGGCGATGGTGGGCAACAATTTGAACATGTGCATGGACTTTGTGGTCCGACTGGCCACCACAGATCTGTTCGAGATGCATTTCCAGTGCATGCGCATGGGTCTCGATGGCGTTCAGTATGTGGACAAGAACGGCAAGCCAGTGCTGCCGCCCAGCGATGCGAAAGCCGATGAGGATGACAAGGATATACTCGAGTATGACTATGCCGAGCTGCCGGAGGACGGCGATCAGCAGACTGAACAGCCTGAGATGGAGACCCAAACAGAGGCCGAAATCGAGTCAGAGCCCGAGCCATTGCCAATTGAAAGTGAAATGCTTATGGCTGGGGATCATGAGCTGGCAGTGTCAGCCAGTGACAATCACAGCAACGGTGACGCTGATGTGGAAGGTGAAGGTGATGCCGGTGTCGTGGAGGCGCAGGCGCAACAGGAGGAGGCGCCACTGCTTGCCGCTGACAGTGCTGGCGAGAGCGACCTAAAGCAAAACGAAGTAATTGAAACAATTACCAATTCAATAACAGGCAACAAGGCGCCAGCAGCAGCAGCAGCAGCAACAGCAGCAACAACAACAACGTCAACGACAACGTTGAAACCAGCGCAGCTAGCAGAGGATGAAGTGGAGGCCAGCGTTGAGCAGCAGCCCACAATGTCCGAGGAGGCAAAGGAAGAGGCTGGAACAGCAACAGCAGCAGCAGTTGCAGCAATGGCAAATGACAGTGACAATGAAGTGAATGTGGATGATGAGGAAGAAGCAGAGGAAGATGACACTGAGCCTGAGGCAGAGGAAGAGCCAGCTGAACCGGCAGAGGCATTGTCCGAGGAGGGGCAGCAGGCAGCGGCTAGTGTGAACAAAACCGATGCAATGGCCCAAACGGAGGAGGTGCAGCAAACTGAGGAGACGCCAGCAGAGGCTAATGATGATGATGATGAAGATGGCGATGATGATGATGATGATGACGACGATGATGGTGACGATGATGGTGATGATGATGGTGATGATGATGGAGATGATGCTAAAAACGATGAAAAGCTGGCGCTAGCCCAGGAGGCGTCAGCTGCTAATGACAATGAAAGCGCTGTCAGGCCTAACGACAGCAACAATAGCAACAATAATGAGCCAAGCCGTGAAGCTGTTGATGGCAATGCTAATGGAACTGGGGTTAAGCCGTTGCAACTGCAACAGCGACGACTGCGACGGCTGCTGCTGCGACAGCGCAGCGGCATTTAATTGTTGCAGCAGCTTTGGTTTCAGCAGTAACAGCTGATTGTTAATTTATTATAATTGTTAATGAATTGTTAATGCTAAATGCTTGTTAATTAATACATATTTATTGATAACGTAGAAAAAAAAGTCAACAAATAAAAGACTAAGCGAAAGACAAAGTAAAAACAAAAAAAAAAAACAAATAGAAAAAAGTATAAAAATTAAAGAAAACAATTGGAGTTGAAATCTGCCACACAATTTGGAGCGCATCAAGCGGCAGCAACAACAGCAGCAACAGCAGCAACAACAGCAGCAACAGTTGCTGTCGCTGCTGCTGTTGTTGCTGTTGTTGTTGCACCCCTGCACACCCCTTCATTGATCCATTTGTTGCTCTAAAGAGTCAAAGGATGTCGTCGAGGGGCGTCCCTTGCGCCTTCGGCCTATCGGCATATTGTACTCCGATTGCTTCTTACGCTGATAATCCAACTCATAATCGTTGACCGCATAGCATAGCGCCAGATAGGCCTGCAGCTTGGTTGACTTTAGCCTGGCGGCCAATTGCTTGGCCTTGCCCAGCGACTCGTTGAGACGCTCGAAACGATTGAATACCGCATGCACCTGACAGATCAGAAAGGTGATATTGAAGCGCCAAGCAACGCTGTTGCAGATGCGTGCCTCTGAAAAAATGGCCCCTACTTAATTACTAATATTTGGGGGAAAATATATATCTACCGTGCGATGCTTTATGCGCCATGGTCAGGGTCTTGTCAAAGCGCGACTCTTTAAAGTGACAGCGCGCTATCTCGAAAAGCAGATAGGTCCGCTCGATCGCATAGCGAGAGTGGATTAGGCGATTCTTCAGATGGTTCACTTTCTTGCTGCAGTTGAAGTGGGTCAGTGCGGCATCATCTAGGGTATATGCATTTATCAGGACTGCAAAACACACTGATTGGAGCTTGGAATAGCAATTAGTACTTAGTATTAGTCATGGACCGAGTTAGCGATGTACATGGGCCGTGTTTTTCTTTAATTTTGAATGTAGATCTAATGCACTTGAACTAAAAACTGAGTTGATCAATTTGGAACAAGTAAAAGGTTTTAGTCGCGAGCTCCCGACTAGGGGATACCCTGAACCCTTATCTTCCGATAGGCGATAGGTATAAAATGATAAATACTTCAATTATATGTATATACTATTCTAGAAGCTAAATGTCAATTTTGGTGACTCTAGCTCAAAGAACAGCATTTCGATATCGACTTTTATGGAAACGGGGCAAGTTATCGAATATCGGAAACAAACTGCGCGGAAACAAACTAGGAGGACCTACAGCTAAAATTTCAAGTCTCTAGCTCTTATAGGTTCTGAGATCCTTGCGTTCATACATACGGACGGACAGACAGACGGACATGGCTAGATCGACTCGGCCATTGATGCTGATCAAGAATATATACACTTTATGGGGTCGGAGATGCTTCCTTTTGCCTGTTACATACATTTGCACAAATACATTATACCCTGTTTAACCATTTTTAATGGGTTCAGGGTATGAAAAACAGGTTCGCGAACCGAACCCAAATTCAGAGTGTTGCTTAACCCTGAACCGTACCACCGACAACTATTTTTTTTTTATGGTTTTGCAGCCCTGATAAATACATATGTATGTAACATATATATATTCCCCCATCCACTTACGCAACACGATTAAGTCGCTCATCGTCCCTGGCAATTTCACCGTATACATTGCGACCTCCAAATGTGATAGCCTGCTCCTTGACGCGATCCGCTGGCAGCAAATAGAGCATCGAGTGATTTTTGAGATCCAGAAAATCGATATTCTTCGGCACCGCACACCGATCGATATGGGCCAGTGCCAATATGTTGTACACCTCGGTAACGAACTCCCACTTCCAGGGCAGCGTTCGGTGTGTCTTCAGCTCAATGCTGGTGTACATAATATGCTCAACATAGTCGGTCAGACGCTCGATATTCCGTTCCTGGCGCCGGCGGTGCACCTCGCGCAGCATACGGAAGCAGTCGCGACGTGTCTGATACTCCACACGGTACAGATAATTCTCGCGGTTCTTCTCACAGACTTTGCTAACACGACATTTCACCTGCCTGCAGTGGTACAGTGGGTTGCGGGTATGCATCATTTTCTGTAAATAGGTGGCATCAATGGTAATCAAAGGTGAATGGGAATGTAAGAAATAAAGATCATCTACGGCACGCCGAAGCTTAAATACCCTCAAATGCCACAATATTTTAGTCAAATTTGATGTGCTTTTACGGCACGCCGAAGCTTAAATACCCTTAAATGCCACATAATATTTTAGTCAAATTTGATATGCTTTTGCAGATGTGTCAGATGAATAGTTAGGCTCGTAAATGCGTTAAATATTTCGTGAAAGGGTAAACTAGAGGGCAGGCCTACCATGAACTTTTTGACAATCGCATACTGCTCGGAGGCCAGCTCGGACAAGTAGGGCGTGGAGTAGTTCGACAGTGGATTGAGGAAGTTCTTGTCGCTTTGCAGTTGACGCAGCATGACCACATCGTTGGCGCTCTTGTGCAGATACTGATTGTTATAGACTCTCTCGCAGACCTGCCGACGTGCACGCTCCAGCGGTGAGAGCAGGGGCTTTTGTATGCCGATAACGCTCTCCACGTCGCAGTCAAATTTCTCGCTTAGATTCTGCCAGAGGGGGCGCGGCATAAACGCAACGGATGTCCGGCGAGCGCGTGCCACCTCCGTTATCAACGGCCAATTGTCGAGCAGAAAGGGGTGTAGGCTGTCGCCAAGGGTATCCTCGAGCACGTCAATTGTCTAGCGTATAAAGATGCCAAAAGGTTTGTTAGGACCGACCGGGTGGGTCAGTGGGTCAACAGCCAAGAACTCACGTGATTTGCACGTAACTGAAAGCGATCCTTGATGGATTGTCCTTGATAGTTACGCGCTTCAATGTTCAGTTGGACCAGATTATCTTCAAAGCGATTGCACTCGAAAAGCGCATCGCATTTGTTCATTAAATAGCTAACGTTCGAGCGTCCCTGTAGCTCCAACAGCTCGTGCGCCTTCTGCGCATCCTCCCACGCCAGTTCCGGCTGGGCAATTGACCGCCGACAATGGCTACGCTTATCGAGCGCATCGGAGGCTAAGCTGCAAAACTGTCCCTCAACTGATTTGCACTTTTGCCCGGGCGCAATCGCCGGTCCGGCAAAACAGCAGGTGCTATCCCTCTGAGTTTTGCAGACGGACAATGCGCGTGTAAAATATTCCAGCGCCTTCTTGTTGCGCAGCCGACAGCCCCAGTCCTTAAACAAGTTCGACTGGGTGCAGAGCGGCAAATCGATGCGCTGCCACGGTTTCAGATCTGGATGCAGGGTGCCCGCCCGTGTACCAGCCGTAAGGGCTGTGGCAGCTCTCAGGTTACTGTGCTGCGACATATTTGGTTATGAATGTGTTGGATATTGAAATTTTGTACGACAGCTCAATGCTTGCGCTGAATTTGTAATATGTAAAATTTTGGCAATAACTTGACGTAATTTTTAATCAACCGAATTGACAGACGAATTTCAAATACGATATTTCGAATCTGTCCGGAATTTCATGTTAACCCAGCCTGGTGCCAAGCAGTGCACAGATCTGATCTCCAGCTGTTCCCAAACTGTCGCGTAGCATTGCGATAAAATGTTCACATATGAGAACTTCAGCCTAGATACATATGCATAATCTAAATGAATGCAAAACCCAAAATCGATTTATAATTTTGTGATAAATAGTATAAACAATTTGAGGAATTTCTATAACTTATTTTTTAATTCTAAAGTGCAAAGTAGTGCTTACCATGGACATTGTTGCACTGCTTGCTGCACTGCTATGCAACCAATTGCGCATTACTGGTCACAGATTGGTAAGCACTCATGTCGCTAGAATTGCCCCTATATCTTCCGATAGCTCTATGGAAAAGTGGATAGTGTTTTCTTGGAAATCTTTCTCAATTATATGACTTCAGGGAAGAATGGAAGATAGATTTGAGGGCATTTCAATGGATCAATATTGGTCGAATTTTCGTTTGATTAAAACATATTTCTGTTGGATCCGTCAGGTCTCTCTAAGGTAATGACTTGAGGGTTTCAGGTGTACGATTTGACCAAGGTTGGAACTAGGTGCGCCTTTCTTAATGATTTGGGTTCAGGGAAGAACTGTAGGTGGATCGGTCGGCATTATTATGGACCAATATTGGTCTTAATTTTGTTAGCTTGAAAGCTATTTCTGTTGGAGCTGTCAAGTCTCTCTAAGGAAAAGACCTTCAAGTGTACATCAGATCTAAGCATTGCCCCGGATGCGCATTTCTCAATCATTTGGGTTTAAGGATGAACGAAAGGTAGAGCGGTTGGCATTACTATGGACCAATAATAGTCTAAATTTCATTTGGTTGACTTAAGTTTTGTACCGGGAAGGATCTAAGTGCTCCTCTCTCAATTATTAGGGTTAAAGAAAGAACTATTTTTATTAGTTTTGTCTGATCTCTATAACCGAAAGACATCCAGGCGCATTTCTAAGTTAATATATGTCCCGGGATGGAACTAAGTGCTCCTCTTTCAATCAGTTGTATTCAAGTAAGAAGGAAAGGTAGATCAGTCGGCGGTACAATGTATCTAAAATGGCCTATACTACGTTTGCCTAGAAGCTATCTCTGTTGTATCTATCAGATCTCTCTGATCGCATATCAGGTATCAATCATGTCTAGGGTTGAAACTAAATGTTACATTCTCAATCATTTGGGTTCAGGGAAGAACGAAAGATAGATGGGTCAAAAATACAATGAACCACTAATCGTTGAGGCGACTTGCGGGTTAACTAACCTAGCCCAGCTGGAAATGATTGCGTCGTGGTCAGCGTCTTGTTTCTTCTCACACCGACGCAGATAGAGCTGTTGGAATTTTTAACAGAAGCTAACGCTATTGGCCACGGTTCCAGCAAACGTTGCAATGTTCACGCAGCGAAAAACTAATAAAAACCACCAAAAAACGTAAAAAACAAAATAATACCCTTTCTTATTTTGTGTACCCATTTTCAATGGTAGAGAGAAGCAGCTCAGCTGGCAATCGTGACGCGAAAAACAATAACAAATAATTACCACAGTCATAATCGTGGAATATTATATAACTTTTAAGTTGTTGCTGCTGCTGCGGGGCAGACCAAATTATTTAATTATTATTTTATTTGGGTTTTTGTTTTGTGCTTTGTTTTAACCGCTTCGTTCGGGCTAGACTTGGCCCAAATGCATGACCAGCCACGACGATTTTACAACATTTATTACAAATATTTACTCGAAATGTAATTTGTTTAATTGTTTTTAATTTTTATTTCATTTTTTTTCTCTCGTTTGTCTTGGCTGTTGTTGGCTTTTTTCACATAATTTGTGCATTTCTTTTGTTTTCTTTGCATAAGCGCAACGCGAATTTGAATTTGTATTTCAAATTTGTTGACCAGACGCTCGACTTGCCCAGACATGGGGCTTGAATAGTCTGAAGAGGGGGGTGAAAGAGGGAGACAGAGATGTTGGCAAACGCTGATGAGCGCTCGAATTGTTCGCATTTGTATGCCAACGAGCTGTGGGTGTCACTTTTTACGTTTATTGCGGAAAGAAAGTCACAAAAAGGTAGCGAAACTGTTGCTACTGTTCCAGCAGGTGGCGGTGCGGGCAGAAGGGGGGCCGAACGGGGTACGCCACTTGAGCGACAATTAAAGCTTGTTTTTTTTGTTTGTGGTCTGAGTTTTGGCAATAGCGCAACGTGTGGCCAAAAGCTATAAATAAATACAATCACACATACATAGGTACACACTTACATATGAGGAAACGGTGGGGTCAGGCAACACTGGAAACTGGCTGCACAGCATGTCAATTAGGCGGCATACAGTCGCTCTCAAACTGTTAAGAAATACGCGACTCAGTTTCGAATACCGCAAACTTTTAAGGCTGACAAATTGGCCGAAATTGTTGCTTTAATTTTTCTCAAATAACCTTCAAATCTATGAACCAGAATAAGTCCCATTCTTCAATTAAATGTTCTGAATATTGTTTTAGAAAATGCCATGTCCATCCATCTGTATGATTGCGTCGATCTTGGAAGTTATAAGCGTAAGATTCTTCCTATTTTAATAATTAATTCTCGTTGTCATACACAGAAAGAGTTACTGATTATATCGTACTATAGACCAAACTATCTATTGTTTTAAGGCAATTTTCGGAGATTATTATAGCTGGAGACAGCAAACTTGGTTTATATTTTCTGGTATAACCAATTTAATTTGTTGCATAAAATCTCATTTTTATACCCTGAACCCATTAAAAATGGGTTAACAGGGTATATTGTATTTGTGCAAATGTATGTAACAGGTAGAAGGAAGCATCTCCGACCCCATAAAGTGTATATATTCTTGATCAGCATCAATGGCCGAGTCGATCTAGCCATGTCCGTCTGTCTGTCTGTCCGTCTGTCCGTCCGTCCGTCCGTCCGTATGTATGAACGCAAGGATATCAGAACCTATAAGAGCTAAAGACTTGAAATTTTAGCTGTAGGTCCTTCTAATGCCCGCGCAGTTTGAGTTTGTTTCCGATATTCGATAACTTTCCCCGTTTCCAAGTAATCGATAAAAATCGATATTGAAATCTTGTTTTTTGAGCAATTAAAATAATAATAATAATAATAATAATATGAGCTAGAGTCACCAAACTTGACATGTAGCTTCTAGAATAGTATATATATATCAAGTATCTTTCATTTTATACCTATCGCCACCTCCCCGCTATCACCGCAAAGCTATAAATCAAGTTAATTATCCAACTTGTATTGCCCATCAATTTAAGCCACGATTTAAATGTAATTGTCATTTTGAGAATACACAAATATTCTTTATTCTATTCTACAATAAGATGTACTGTCGAAAATTTCATTAAGATCGGTTAAGAAACAGAAAGGTTATGTGCGCACGTGTTAGGATCATAGCTGCTGCGCCAATTCCAAGAATTTCTGTATACATGTACACACACACACATTCATGCGCGGCTTCTTTGAATTCTATCAACAGCATTGCAATTGCGATTGTATTGTTTTCTGTGCTGCTATTTTAATTGGTTTTTTTCTCATTAAAGCTCAATTATTGGTGTGGTCCTTAAGTAGGGCAGCGGTAAGTGGTGCGGTTAGTTGCGAGTTCGAACCCTGCCAAGGGACCATTTTTTTTTTTTTATTTTGCATTTGGTGTTGGAAGAAGAGGGTTCAGGGTATCCCCTAGTCGGGAGCTCCCGACTAGAACCTCTTACTTGTTTTATACTCGAGTTTTGTGTTTTGGTATATAAATATTTTAAGGTGCCATATTTGTTCATATATTTTTGCTTTCGAAATCCCCCATTACCAAAATATCTTTATGCCCAAACAACGTCTTTAATGTATCAGTCAGCAGCTATTAGAGCTAAGGATTAAAATTGCGATGTCTCGATATGTCTCGGATCTTGTATAATATATGTAGAGTCAGAGTATTTTACTTTTTTTGACAAATCTTTTCTCTCTCTGGCTCTCACTCAGCTAGAGATTGATGCTTTTCTATTTACACACATTTGAATCTTATATTTATATCCTGAAAATTTCATAACGATCGGATAATAAGCACCAAAGTTATGCAAGAACGCATTTTCCATGGTACGGCAAAGACACACACAAGCCATTTGGAATGGCAAGTTCACAGCTTTACGCCCCATTTGAAGCACAAAGTTGGTAACACCTTTTGACAGCAAAAAAAAACAAAAAAAAAAAAAACAGTCAGTGTAAACATGTCAGTATTTATTTATGCACCCTGTTGCATGCACCGAGCCGCACTCGAGATGCAACCAAATGAAATGACGCCTACCCCCGCCCTCCCTTATGACAGGTGCAAATTGAGTTAAGCCCAACTGGCACTCACTTTTACTTCGCTGTGACACATAAACACACGAGGTACATTTGCTCATTAAGTCGCAGTGCAATTGGAAAGCGTTTGGAAATATTCAGGTGTAGGTCAGCTGTTAAAGCCAACAGCCGAAATTGGCACATAAATTTCAGTTTAACTGTAACTGTTATTGTTACAGCTACTGGTGCTGTTAATAATATTACTGTGCGTGCTAGTGTAACTGTTAACTTTGCTGTTAATATAACTATTATATTACTGTGATTGTTATTGCTACTGTTAAAGTTACTGTAGCTGTGACTATGACTGCATCTGTTACTGCCACTGTTAAAGTACTCTGACTATGAACGCATCTGTTACTGTGCTTGCTACTGCAACTGTTAATATTGCTGTTAATAGTACTTTTATATTACTGTGATTGTTACTGCAACTGTTAAAGTAACTGTTGTTGTGACTTTGACTGCAATTGTTACTGTTGCTTTTAATATTATTACATAGATATTACTGTGCTTGTTACTGCTACTGTTAATGCTAATGGGACTGTCAATAAACATGATTGAGTTGCCAGCATGGCCGAGAGTAACAAATAAGCAAGCGATAATAGGCACATAAACTTAAATACCAC